GTCTACGAATTTTTTAAATAAAAGTTTTCAAAGTTAAAATAGACGTACTAAAATGTAAAGCCGGAGATGTTTAATGATATAAATATTTATTTCTACTAAAACTAGGTCTATTAATTATTAAATTTTTGATAATTTTAGTCCATTCACCGATTGCTGCACTTTGTACACTTGTTTACCGTCATGCCCCAACCTGTATAAAGGGACGAGATAACTCTATCAAGCATTTTAACAGAATTATGCCCCTTTTTTATTTAGAATCTTTGTCAAAATGTTTGCTTTCCACTCAGATAATCCATCGATTATGGCTTTGAGACTTTGCTCATTTGCTCACCATTTTGCCAAAAGTAAAAATTCCGTCTCGGCATAATTACTTGAGTTAGCTTAGATCTATTGACACAAAATTTAGTCTGAGGGTAGCTTATATCAATACGCAACTTAGGATTGCTACACAGGTGTCTGTGAACAAGGTCAATGTCGCAGTTGCTTAAAAAAAGATTTTCACGTAATAACTTGATTTTTTTTTACCTATTTACACCAATCTTGCTGTGTGGGAATTGCTACTTAGATATCTGGGAGCAAGGTCAATGTCACTTGCTTACAATAGAATTTTCAGCTTCTACTCAATAACTTCAGTTCACTTTGACCTATTGATACTTAACTTGGCATGTATGTAACTTATATGAAAATACAGACTGGCATTGATACTCAGGTACCTGGTATATTTTTATTTTGAACTAACGAAACCAATTTTATGTTTGGTACAAATAACAGTATATTTTTTTCTGCCATACTTCATTCTATCAATACTTGGTAGATGAAAACCTGTTTTTCGTCGCACTGTGCACGGATCTTCTTGTTTACTTTTAAACTATTTATATTCCGTAAATATGTTAGGGGTAGGGGTGGAATGACTTTTCAACTGCCCCATTCTATAAAGAAATACAATAAAACCTTGCCTCTGAATATGTTCTTATTTATTACTTTTTCATGTTTAAAACAAAAATCGCATGTATTTTCGGAAAAGTAGGAAGGCCTTATCTGTAATTCAAAAAAGTTATATCTGGTAATAGGGATGCTATATGTATAAGACAAATGTTTATTAAGGAACTATTTTTTATGAATGTTTGAAGTAATTTATTTTTGGAAAGAAATGTAGGACAAAAGTTTTTTTGAAATGTAAAAAATGTAGGAGTATGAAGGATAGTGGTGGAGATTCAGGTTTTACACCAACATTGAAGACAAACTTTTTATTTCATTTTCAATAAACACAATTAATTATTTTTAATTTCAAACCTTTTATAAACTTTATAATTCTTATTGTAACTAAACATAACACACCTTGTATATTCCAAAAACTGTAATGTCCGAATCTAACTAATGCTGTGAAAGGGCGTGTTTATATAGGCTAATTTACCGCCAAAAAGTAACATTACAAGAAAAGCAAGAAAAGTGAGAAAGTCGTGACGTGGATCAAAGCGTAGAGATATAATTTTCCCGCCTTCCTTATTTTTGGCGGGAAGTTATTATGTACAAAGACGAGGAGCAATGATATATAGCTCATTCATTGATAATAGCAAAAAACTGAAAATCTTTATTACAAGTTCAAATTAAACTATATATTCAAAACAAAAAAGAATAATTTGGCATAAATAAAAATAATCGTGTATTTCACGACAAGGATAGGTTTGGCTTCGGATTGATATTTGAATGAGAATAGTTGTTGAAAACAAATAAAATGTTTCTTGGAATATATTTTTGAATGTTTGTAGAAATAGATTAAGATTGTTATTTTGCAATGTATGATGTTTTTTTTAGTTATTTTCCAATCATGAGGATAAGTATCACGAGAAAAATTATATACTTACATTTAAGAATATTGTGATTTTATTTTGTAGCAACTAGATTAACAAGTAGAGATTTTGATGCTAAAGCATCAAGTCGCCGGATAGAAAATGACTGTATTATCATAATTATAAAAAAATATCAGTTTAATTAATGGTTTCAGGTATAAAGAAAAGAGGAACAATATGTTGAGTAACTGTTTATTCACAATAAAACATCATATATGAAGCAAACTTGCTTAGCAATATTGTCAAGGAACTGCTATGATTATTAAATAAGCAAATATTTCGCGTTAGTTTACGTAACTTATTATGATTTATGCTAAAGATTTTATTGATATTATAGATCTCGATATTAAATCATTTAATATTGCTCGATGGCCTACAGGTGGTAAGTAGGACGAAGTTGTGACCTAGTAGGCCAAGTTCGAATCTTTGAAAATCCCTTTTGCAGTTTTCATAAAACTATTTTTTTATTATTTCTTTTAACTATATGAAACATAAGTTGATAAATCGTGTTTCATTTCTAGAAATTTTTTATTTCATAATTTTGATTAATTTTGTAAGGCGAGTGATATTCTTGTAATTCTACTTGTTATTCTACCTTATACATATATACCGTTATACCAGACATCGAAATCCGTTTAGTATACTTCAGAATCCGATAATTACCGCCAAATAATCAACGATCATCGAATATTTGAAAATATATATGTTTAAATTATTGCATGAAACAATGCAATTCTACCGTAAAAGTGGTATCTGCATAAATTTTTTTTTTTTTTTTTGCGCTATCGAAAAATTAAATCATTTAGTTGAAATCAATATTCCTGTCGTTACATACGATATAGTAAACGTTTAATTGCCTTTCAGTTCGATAAAATATTAACAAAAAGATATATTTTATTAGTTTTCTTTATTATGTATCTAATACGATCCGTCACGGAATATAACGAAGACGACGATTACCACTATTTATTTCAATAAATGTGCCTCTTTAGCATAAATCTATTTTGTGATGTTCAACCTAAACTAAACTATTGAACGTTGACAGAAAGGGCCAAGTTTAACCCTTTACCAAGAAAAAATGAAAATGTTTTGAAAATTTATTTAATTCTTTAATGTGCAAATTATGAGTATACAGACCTTTCTAATGATATAAAATATGAAACTGATTAATGAAAGATAACTTTGTAATTATTTATACATTTGCATCTAATTAGCCGCCGTACCGTTTTCCAACTATTCACAAGTTTAGCAGCAATCTGTTACTATTAATAGATTCTATAACACTAACATACAACGTGTAAGAACGTGATTCTTACAATAGAACAGGGAGAATCTGTTTATAATTAGATAAAATAATGAAATATAATAGGTCTCATAAGATATAAACAACCAAATAATTTAAATGTGTCATTTCAAATATCATTCATGATTTATCAATCATAAAATAGCAACGCTTGACACTTAGAAAAAAAGTAAAAGTATCCCTAAATTCAATGACTGGTCCATAGGGATACGTTATTAATTCATTTTATGAAAATTGTAATGTTGCTTTTTAAGATGTCAATATTTGTATATTTCATTTCATTTAGCAACGTTACTTTATTTTTGAATTTTTAAGATTATGAAAAATAATTGTGGTCCTTAATTGTTCAGTAATTGATTTGCTTTTATATTCAGATTTTAAGGCCTTCTCCTACCATAGATAATTATAATATTAAACTGTTACAAATATGTCATTGCGCCACCTGGTATCAAATTATGACTGACTGTATTCGTTCATGTCCCATTTATTTAAGTGCTTGCGTCTTACTTGCTACTCTCAATAAACATAATTATATTGCAATTTTGAAATTTTCTTAATTTTGCGAAAATATGTTGGTGTTTTATTGTTTTCAAGACAAGAAGTAGTAAAATAATGAAAGAAAAATATCACTAGGCAGTAGCCATACCAATAGAGCCTCTTCATTACTATATAAAGGCATTTACACGAATTCTGTTAAGTGAGAAGCAATGTGAATTTAAGCAATAGCACATATGCAATTGTAATAATGATTCTGTGGAATATATAGAAATGTGTAATAAAGTTATAGCGTATATTACACATGCATTTTAATATAAAAAAGAAGCAATTGATGTGCAATCAGAGACATAAGTCTCTTGTGTAATGAAGTAATATATCATGTATTTGCATTTGCAATGTTAATTCTGTTAGATAAGCAGCAATGTGCAATGAAGCATGAGTAAACATGCAGTCTTAAACATTCACATTTCAGTCAGCAAATCAGTGAATAAGAATGCAATCAACATACATGGATAAGTAACATTCAGATATAAACATGTCATCAAGATACCTATACTTTTGGCGGATATTTCCCTCCATAAAGAGAAAGAGTTCTGTCGGCTTCAATATGATTTTGTTGTCATGTGGAAATGAACGCTAGGTTATTATGACAGAACTGAATTATGTAGTTGACAGGTTTTTATTGTATGTAAATATAATGTACATTTATTGACGTGATTAATAAGGTTTTGGTTTCGTAGTATGTAAACGTAGATTTATTAATCATGAGTATTATTATTTTGTTTTTCTAATGTAGATTTAAAGACGTGATCAATATGACTTTGTTTTCCATGTACGAGTATATAATGTAGATTTTTCATACGATCAATTTGATTTGTTGTCATTCTATGTAACGAAGGTGTGTCAATATGTAAATGCAATATGGTCCATATATTTATCAAAAGAGCAAATATTTTTACAATTTTTAATTCAACCCTTCGGAAAAGGTTCAGACGTTTAATTAAAATGCAAATTAAATCTAGCTGAAATGTAAACAAGTTCGGATCAAGAAGAGATGCGTCTCACATAACCTCAACTGACTGTTCTGCTCACGTGCAAAGCACTTGAACCAAAACTGACGCCAAAGCCAGAAGCCATGAAGCAACTCATGAATTCGTGAAGTTGAAATCATGAATTCTTGAAGTTCATGAAGCTGAAATCGTGAATTCGTGAATTCCGTATATTTAAAACGTGAATTCACGAAGTTAAAATTGTGAATTCATGAAGATGAAATCGGGAATTCATGAAGTTGAAATGGCTTTACCGGTCTTTCGTAGGTTTCATGTTTATTTACAAAATCTATACTTCAGATCCAGAGAAGGCGGACGAAGGCGTCAAAAATGGTGTCGTCTGTATCGGCAAGTATTATTTGTGATACTTTAAAAAAATATTAACTACAATACCATCAAATGATGTATTAAACCTTTATTTATTTATTTTCTCCAATTTTGTTTAAGGCGTGTGCTAGGGTTACATACAGACATAAAGCAGTCTACATGGGATGCTGAAAAAAGCCATTGCTTACCTTGAATATGAATTATCTGCTTTTGAAATAACCTAGTTTTTCAAGTGCAATGACAGATTACTCGAAAACTAGGCGGACCAAATGTCTTTGCTTCAATTGTTTCTGTTACTTTATTCTTTGATCATAGTCTTTTATGTAATTTTCATTTTACCATATGTCTGTATGTTACTCTTGTATACGCTTTACCAAGCTAATAATGAATAAACTATACTTTTTGAACGATCGATTTCCATTTAATGTAATAAAATTGAATTAATCAAATTGGATTTCAGTTTAAATGTATTTTGAATGTATAGCTTAAAAAACGGATGAATTCAATGATAAAAACAATGATAGATCCACTGTTTGATTGTGGTTTTGTTAATTGAAAAATCAATCACATTGTTAAGCAAACTTATTATTTCATTTTTTTAAAAATATTTGATTTTTCTACTCATTGTGGCGCCGTTTTATGTCGCAGCGGTGGTAAATTTCGCACTGGCCGCTCAATGTCGCACAATAGCCGCTTAATATCGCAACCCGCTATCTTGCGCAAATTCTTCTGCCCGTAAATGTCGCAATGGTAACGTTAAATCTCGCACGAGTTTTCCTTCCGCTAAATGTCGCTACACTACCATTAAATGTAGCAAGATGTAAAAATTCAAGTTTAGCTCATGTTAGATGGTATTATTATAACTTTTACATTAATCATTTAAAACACTTTGAATATACTTATTAACTTCAGGACGTAACGGAATGCCCTTATCAATCTACCTTCTCTAGACGTCTAGACGAAATATACTTTTTTGGTTTAAATGTGACTGATAATAGTTTATGTATGCAAGACACTTGACAGTGGTTTTATAGTGTTTTTTGGTTTGAGAATGTATCTAGATCGAAGTTAAGTAAATTTCTGTTTAAACAGCATGCGCTACAAGGCACAATAAAACAACTTTAATACAATTTGACATACGGATTGAAAATAGTTCTGCCGCTCGGTTTTAGATGTAAATAGAAACAGAGTCTGCAATCTTTATATAATGTATAACGAATGTATGTATTTGACATCCGAGGGAAAAGTCTATTTCCGACAAATTATAATTAAAAATATATTTGACAATCTTAATCAAAATTTAAAAACGCCCACAGACTAAACTTATAACCAAATTCGAATTAAGGTTAACAAGTATACATTTAATACTTTCGTTGCTTTTGTTTTTTCTTCAATCATGATAATAGGCATATAAATAATGTACTGTTTACTTTTTATTTATATCTATCAATTAATTTATTTAAGGCGGACTTTATTCGTTATAGTCAACAAACCCTAGCATTTAATAACTATTGGCCGAAATGCCGTATCCGTTCTGTGTATTCTAACTACATATTATGCGAATTTTGACGGAAAGTGATGAGAAGATGCTATCGGATTTTATTGCTCTTATTACAACATTTACTTTCGTTTATCTTAGTAGGCCTTTAGAGTTTGATTTGTTTAATTGAACTTTCAATTTTCAAACGCACGCATGCGCACACGTAAACATACAATGCATTTATATTTTGTATAGTTGGCCATGTACATTGTACTAAATATTTTGATCTTATAAAACAAAATGTAATTCTGACTATACTGCATTTTGGTTACATAGTTTGCACAATCTATTATTTCTTTCAATATTATTATAACTATGTAAACATTATCTACTTCTAAGTATATCTAAGTATATTATAAAATAAAATTCAGTTGCAACAGCAATATAATTTTGACATAGAAATGATATTTAAACTCAATTCTTGAAAAAGTGATATCGTATTCTAGAATTTATCAAAATTCACCCCAGGATCAAAAGACAACCTTATATTTGAAAAGCCTAAATGATAGGCTAAAAAAATAGAATTCATTAGCACAGTAAGAAGTACTAACATCATTACATAAATCATTATACATATGATAAATGTCTTTACAAGGCATCTCTGTTTGATTCTATGATTGTACCTAAGTTAACGTATGAATGTGAAGTTTAGGGTGCTTATAATAATTTTATATTTATATAAAATTTACATAATATATGATTTATCTACCTCTTTATAATAATAAGCACCCCAAACTTCACATCCATACGTTAACATAGGTACAATCATAGAATCAAACAGAGATGCCTTGGTTCAAATATCTAGACTAATAACGTTTAAAAGATTATCATACGTCCTAAAGGCTTGCTCATGTAGCGCTTTAACCGTATTCACAAGAGTACCAGTATAAGTAAACTTGATTTCAAGACAAAAGAAGATTTTTTTTCAAGAATTTCAATTCTTTCGTTAACTATATAGAAGGTTGTATATACAGTTTGTTTTCTCTTTTCATATACACATATTTTTGATTTATTGACATTTATTTTCAACCCCGATTTATTAGAATAATGTAGCATTAATTTGTGACCGCATACTATTTGGATCTGTTGTTAATAATACAATATCATCAGCAAAGAAATCATAACATTTACAGAAGTTCAAAGTCTTTTTCGGTCAAAGCATTAAAATCCAATTTTTCAGTAATATCATTGACGAAAACTAGGGAAGACAAAGGTTCTTCCTGCCTTACACCTATTGTTACATTAAAGAAGTCGGACATTAGCTGGCAATTTCACACAAGCTTGAACATTAAGATATATACATTTATCACATTTTTCATTTTACAGTTTATTCCTGATTGTAACAGTTTAGTCAATAATGTATCTCTACAGTATCCTGTAGGATGATACAGGTAGGATAATTCTGGGCTATGATTGAAGAACTAAGCACTTTTTAAGTCCCTCTTCTTTTGACAAACTTCCGCCACTACTTCATGCTCATCTCCTCACTATTACATTTATTTATGCACAAATACAGATTTCAATTTACACTGATATATAAATATTTAAAGCAATGTTACAGTAACGTCTTAAATTTTATATGTTACTTCTCCGGTCCAGTCTTGACCCAGCCTGATTTTAAATTTATGGATACTTTTTCAGTCCATTACGTTCTCCGGCAAATTATTTCATGTTTTGATAACTGATTCAAGCAATGAGTTGTTCTACATGAATCATTTCGAGTTTTAAATTACGACCGAATAACTAAAAAATCAAAAGTGCAGTCATCTAAACCTTTAACAATTTAGAATGTCTATTAATCTAGGATGAGTTAGACTTGGCAGTTTAAGTCTTTTCAAACGGTCAATGTATGATGATAGATCTTTCAATGATGGAATTAGTTTTATTGCTCTTTGTTACCCAGGAACGATGCGGTGGCTTAACTGTCCTTTGATGAATTCAGTGTTAATAACTGCTGTTATCCGGAATGTAAACTACCAACACCATCATCAAAAAGAAAGAATAATTTGATTAACTAATGTAAAGTAAAATCATTTCAAATTTAGTCTTGGTTAAAGCTAAAAAATGTTTCTGTTAAAACAGTATGCGTACAGGTTTTATCCACTTGTGCCTCGGCATGTGCTTTATCACCTTACTTCAATGATCCTGTGTCAGTACCATCACTTTTATGATGACACCTTTTTGAAATTTCCCCTAGTTAGATAAAGTTGTCTAGGAAAACACTGATAGATATTTCAGATACTGAAAGTTTCATGTCTACTTCGATTTCCGTTGTCGTTAAAATCTTTTATAAGGAAAGACTCTGAATGTATTTTAATTATATTATTAATAACTTTGTATGCGATGATCATCTGATTCTTTCCGAAGATATAAATGGTTGTATCTAAATTTAACCATATAAAATTCTTGCAGGAATTATTTGTCAGTAAAACTTTTGTTGACTTTTGTAGCAAAAACTAGAGATCACGTGACTCCCTTCGTCAATAAACTTTTTGATTTAACAGTCAATGGACATTTGATAAATTGTCGGTAAGTTTCGTGAGATGAAATAATTTTTTATTTTTGTCTTTGAAATAATTATAATGGACTTTATAGCTCAACAGGGTGAACTACAATGCATCTCCATTAGCATCTACTAGTTTAACATGAATTTACATCTGGCGACATTTATCGGTAGTGTTGCGACATTTTACGGGAAGTGAAAATCGTGCGACAATTAACGTTACCATTGCGACATTTAACGACAGATGATTTTGCAATAAATAGCGGCGGTTGACATATTTAGCGGCAATGGTGCGACATTAAACGTTAGCGGCGTTGCGACATATAATGGCGTCACACTTATTACAAGGTCCGAAAGAAGTAAAAGAAGAGGAAGAAATTGAAGATGACAATATCGTCTGTGGTTAGTTTTTTTTATTATTATAACTAAAATTTACAATTGATCGCTTACGTGAATTAACAAACTTTAAAAATAGTTTCATTTGTTATGTTTATACGACTATAATCACAGCAGAGCAATTCAAAAAGTATCTTCTTACGTCTGTAAGAAGACATTTTTAATTCCACTTGGATTTAGTGCAGATGACATATACGGTGTCCTGTATGACATAAATTGACAAGCAAAATGTTTTTCTAAAATGCTTGTGTCGCCCTCTTGTATTTTTATAGATTAAATAGTGAGATTTTACATTCTTGCATATTAGACTGGCGTTTCCGTCAGTTTACCCATGCCAGAAATTTCGTCAGGCGGGTGCCAGATGAATGACACGCTTATGATGACGTAATTCTACTGTTAAAGAATGAAATGTAATTTCATACATTTCCATGGAAAAATGTTTTATTAAGGTAAAGAGTTTAAAATATGATTGAATATGTTAGAACATGCAAGAAAAAATCTCTGACATATGTTTGCTGTTCGGATCGGAATATCCGTCCCGAGAGGACCCGCCCATTGGGCGGTGACGAGGCTTGCCGTTCATTGAACGACATCCACCCAAACTCTTTCAGTATATCTTAATTTCTTATTCGTGATGTTTTGTTTAAAAAAATCCTTGCTGGCCTTGTTGTTGTTTTTATCTTACTTTAAACGTGTTGAATTATCAAAATGGATATGTTAGAGTAACTTTATATATGTCTATCATCGTTACTTTCAATGAAAATTATGTTTATTTACGGATTTTCTATAATTTTCTACGAAGTGTAATTTGGCACAGAAGACTGGCGTGTCTTCCAACAACAGTTTGAAATATATAGACGCTTTTATTTAGCGTTTGTGGTGTTTTTTTTTCTTCAAAAGCTCCAAGGATTTTAAAATGACGGCGCCCTGCTAACTAAAGATTTTCATATATTTTATATTGATTTTAACTTATACACGTTGTACATGTTATCTAAGAGTGCTTATAAAAATCATCGAGGGATTTTCCGCGTATTTTGCTCCCAAATGTGTATGTGAAGTTTCAACACATTTCCGCTAGTGGTTTTGAAGATAATAACTTGCGCTGACACCGACGCCTGGGTGAACTAGACGAGCTAAAACAAGAGATTTAGTCAATTTCAAGTCTTAACAGGCGATATTTTAACTACCTCAAACAGGACACCATATAAGCAAACGGAAAGTTGTAGCGAACTTTATAGTGCCACTCAAGAGTAAAATCAGTTTATCGAAAAAGAACAAAATAAATTGGATTGTCATTTCCAGAAATAAAGTTACTGTAAATATTAAGCAGTTATGGCTTTTTCGACGAAACTAACAACACGTTGTTCAAACTCCAACTTTTCTTGTATATGGTCTGACATTCTATGAGAAAAAACAAAATTAATAACATGACATTCACTGTTTGCCGCTCCCACACCAAAATAAATAAGTAAATAAATAAATAAAAATGAAAAGATAAATAAACAAATACAAAGATAGATAGAGGATATTTGTTTAGTTCAATATAAGATCGGAATATATTTCACAGAGTGAGCACCAAAATGTATATTTCACGAGTGGCGCAGCCACGAGTATAAACTTTTGGTGTTCACGAGGTGAAATAAATTATATTTCGATCTTTAAAACACTAAACTCTCTCGATGTTGATTGGATGAAAATTGCAGGAAGGGGCAGAGTGAACTATAAATGTGTTTATTAACTTACATGTTTTTTTACAATTAATCGTCGTATAAGTTAAATACTTTCAGTCGTATTTTCTTCTAAAGTGTCTTTTCTATCCTAGTGAAAAACTCGTGCTTTTAGATTCCTATTGTATATAAATAAAAACTACGTCTGATAATTGAACATTTACGCCACTCCTGAAATTGTTTATGATGTTTATAGTTCAGTACGATAAGCATCAGATTTGTAATTCAGGGGTCGCTAGTTCGAACTTGTGCCGAGACGACATTTCTCCCTGACAGTTGATCCTAATGGACATCTGTCTCTAACAGCTGATTAAGAAATCATGTGGTATTAGTAATCGGTCACTTGCTGAGAAATTGGTAATAACTTGTTTGTATGTTTTTCTCATTTTACGCTGTTAACACATTATTTTCATATCTAGGAGGTCGAATCACCTATTGGGCTTCCCTAATTAATAAGCAACTTCTCCACAAATCACTGACTACTTATCACATTTCTGAATCGTTTATGAGTGATAAATGACTCGCCTGAGATTTGAACAATTGTTTTGTTCCTTTATCGTGCATGAACATCGCTAAAGCACGAGAATGCATTTAAACCTCTAGTCAAGGAAAGTGAGGAATTGAATAAAGTCATAGGGCTTTCGTAAATGTTAATATACGAAAAACGAAAAAAATGTGCATTAATTTTGTGGGGATTTTATAAATTATTATAGAAATAATGATTTCGTTGTGCTTTTCATGTGCGAGTGCGATGTCTTTATAATGAAATTATCACGGCAGCAATTTTTTTATGAGGCGACCCAAGCCGCGAGTGTTAATAACTTATGCATGTATTAAACTTTTCACGCGTTTCGTTTAAGTATAGCGTAAAAATATTGTCTTAATGATTTGTATTCACAATAAGGTTTTAATAAATGGTATATATACGTGTTATGTGATATATGATATGATATATATATAGGTTTTACAGAAGGTTTAAATCAGTCTACCGGACACTAGCGCATTGTTCATACTGTTTTATCCAATTTCTGAGATTAGCTGTGCGAACCACGTGGCATTTAGAGAAGAAATCAATTATTGACAAGGATTGAGACTCTTGTTTTGAAACGAAGATTTGTGAAACGCAGAAACAGCTTGCTTAGCCACAGATAGCTAAATTTCACCAATGACAATTATCAGTACCGAAATAAAAGGAATGAGGAGTAGCTCAAGATTAAGTTCAAAGTGCTCGGCAGTCTACGTGAGGCAGACAATCAGCTTAATGACATGACAGCTTAAGGTTTGTCAAAAGCAGAGGCAGCTCGGCTGAAAGTGATCGAAGGTATGAGCGCTCTTTGTTCACTGTCAAAAGCTCATTAAGTTAGCCGACTCCACTTAATTGGCTCGAGGGTTGTAAATGAATACGAGGCACACCTGTTAGCTGAAGATTCGGATGATTCCGGCGCACGTATTCAGACGATTGTGATTGGCAGACTGTAAGATGGGGTCTACGGAGGCTCAGGATGCTAAAACATCTCAGATAAGATTTTATATAAATCCTTTCTCATTACTAATTAATTGGTAAGATAAGACAGTGTTTGGTAGTAGATCGAGAGAGAACAATGAAAAGGTTCTATCTCTAAATGAAAGACTGCGGAAAAATATTTCTTATTTCGAAAGATCTGGCGCAAGCAGCTTCGTATTAGAAGTATAAATGAGGGCTAGAAGCTGCCTTTGAAAACTTTACCTAAGAAAAAAAGTTTTAAAAATAGTAAATCTGCTCTGGAAAACCGTATTTTTGTTTTGGAAGTAATTAAAAAGATATTAGTCAAGGGATGTATCACACAGGTTACATCTGCCCCACATGTATTAATCCTTTAACTGTTGCTTTTAGCAGGTTCGGGAAACCCCGTTTGGTATAAGATTGTAGACACGTGAATCTTGATTGCTTGATTGGATATTATTTTCACTTGAATAGACAGGTTTGATTGCGACTATATTGCAATGTGTCAGGCTTTTAATGTGATATTTTGGTGTTCTAATACGTGCGGTATTAATGCTTTTAAACAAATATGGACTAAGCTTATCAGTAAAATGTATAGAGATAGGTGTGATTGTACGCTGATTGTTCCCATTTGGAAATCTCTTCAAATTATTGGCCGTTAATATTTCCGAACGAAAAAGATTATACTTCGTTTATAAAAGATAGTTTTCATTTCAAGCCTGGAGTGTTGACTAGGCGTGGTAGGGATAGGAACGGTATTTTTGATGCGAGGCCTTTAAAATTTGGTTTGATTGCATAAAGAATAGAAACAGATGTTTAATTTTGTTTTATTTTTTCAGGTTTGAAAATTGAATGGACATCATGGACAACATAAATGAGGCAGGTGTATCTCCGGAAGGTTTTGGTGATTGACCTCGTAAAATGGCTGAACAACTATCGAATTTCCGTAGTGATAATACAAACGTTAAATATTTGCTATATTTTAAAAGTCAAAGAAAAGGGAGGAAACTCTGCGTCACCAATACACTTATATTTGACTGATATTTTAGACAAAAAGAATTCTGCTGGCGTTATTTCAGCGACTGTTTATAGCATTAAATGGGTATATGGTTAAAAGGGGTTTTCGGATCCTACTGACAATTTGTTTGTTTAAAAAATATTAGGATCTGCGAAACGAACTCATGGTAAAGTAGCTAATAGAAGGAGCCTTTGAATGTAAAAGTATTGATAAGCATTTGTAATGTGTTTAAAAATTCAAGAGATATTTTAATTTATTTAGATTTATTTAGAGATTTATGTATGCTTCTTTTAGGTTTTTCGGGTTTTCTAAATTTTGATGAGCTCAGTGCACTGAAATATAATGATGTAAAAAAAATGAAGATTAAATATCTCTTAAAATTTCAAAATGTTAAACTGATCAATATCGTTTAGGTATCGAAATTGTTATTTGCAAAAAACAAGGCCGTCGCATGTCCTTTTACCATGCTCAAACGTTATATGTTTATTACTGAACAAGATGTTTCTGATGATAAATTTTATTTAGGCCTTATTTTAGATCTGGAAAAAAATCGTGTAAGTATATATATAAAGGTTTTACAGAAGGTTTAAATCAGTCTACCGGACACTAGCGCATTGTTTATCCTGTTTTATCCAATTTCTTTTATGTATAATATTATGATTTAAGGTCTATATTGATTATTTACCTGCTGCAAATATTGGTAAATTTATGTCGGGCATCATTTTAAGCTAGTGAAGACAAACGTATTTAACAAATGATTATATCATCAGTTTTAATCGATCAGATTGGTTAAGGTATCATTTTGGTTTTAATGTTATATAATTTTCAGATTGCGTACTTTTTAGTTAAAAAATAGATGATGAGCATGTTGGCATGTATTTAAGAGTGAGTCCCAACACTCGCTGACATTTGACAAATGGGAACAGGTTTTCCGCGTAAATTTTCTTAATTATTTTAATTAAATAAGTTTTTCATCTCTGGTTTTTCCTTGGCGAGTCAACCGTGATCATAGTAATAGTATTGTGAAATTTGGAACGTTTTTGTATTATGACAAAAACAAACATTTGTTAATACACATGTCACTATTTTGTTGTCAAATGATGATGAGCTATGTTATCTAACAATACATGCTTCTCCGCAAAACATTTATGAGTTTGTTTTTATATTGGTCCATTTTTAAGTTTATTGTGAGGAGGAAATACATGGTTTTAATACATGATGCATGTTATTTTTCTTTTATGCAAGACTTAAATTTATTGCACTACTGTCATTTAGTAAAACTAAAATACATTCAAAGCACCCAAAACATATTTAACAAATTTTAATAAGAACTTTATTTTTATTATTTCAATATTTAAAAGTGATATTATTATAATTTTGATATTTAAAAGAATCAACACCGATTGAGACGACACAGACAGAAATAGAAATGGTGTCAACACAAGCTTATGCAGCTGTTAGGTTTGAAGAAGTGCTCATTGAAGTTATAAACTCATCAACACTTAACGTAGACTGGTGTCCACTTCTGAACTGTGATAACCTGTATGGATATAAAATACGTTATTCAATAAAAGACAACACTTCATATAATGAGGTTTTTGTAACTCCGGGAATATCTAACTTCACAATAACTGGTTTAAAACCAGCAACGGAATATGTTGTTTGTGTAAATGCAATTGACGATAAGGAGTCGGTGATTCAACAATGTGGACTTGCAACTCAGAAAACTGACGAATTTGAGGGTGAGTTAAAATTAATGACGTTATAACGATAGGTTGAACGTAACTTTAGCTATGAAAGCATAATACATTTTAAAAGCCCTTTTAACATTTTAGAAAAAAGGCCAAGTCGATTGCTAAAATGTACCTCGCTGTCATATACATTTCCTTTGTATCCTGATCTCTTCTGTTTCAGTTCCTTAACAATTGCTCAATCGTATGGCCACATTTATAAAAAAAAGTTTAATATTGTATAAATCTATTACTTTCTTCTTAGTCGGCGCTTTGTGAATATTTTTTCCGGCGAAGAAAAACTACCGATGTATTTTCTTTCGGCCATTTGTTGTTTTACATCGGCGCTCTGTGAATTTCCAAATAAGAAGAAATATAGCTGAACAATCATCCAAGTTCTTTTTTCTCCATCGGCACATGATTAAGGTAAAATATACATCGCAGTGTAGCGTTGATGATTGAGCAGAGATGATTGTGATAATACAAACTTATTAATCACACATTTTTATGTTTAAGATTTCAAGATATTTTATACATAAATATTGTATTTTGTCCAATAATATCGTTTCATTTTTTCAGTTCATTTAATCTGCATGTATTGAATCGACACAAACTTGTTCTTTAATATTATCCCGTTGAATTAGCTTATCGTATTAACAATGTGGTAAGATTCTAAACATTATTTCAACCACTATTTAAATGTAGACCAGCATAAATCACATCAAATATGTGGAGTCGCCGCGCCGATCAAAACAGATTTCAATTTCATATAATAATGATAATGATAATAATATCCAGAAGGTTACACATGAAGATATACCATCGTAAAATACAAATAACATACCCTAATTTTAAGGTTTAAGGTTAATTTTAATACCAAAGCAACTTCGGTATTTCGGGCTTTTTCTGCTGGAGTAGTATAACTATTAAAGAAGCGCCGAATGAGAAGAACGCCAATAGTTTCTCTCTTGGTAATTCACAAAGCGCCGACGACGAATATGAAGAAGAAGAAAACAATAAATTTAGCGCTACGGGGCTGTACTGGGGCTTTCCATTCAGATAATTTGTGAAACAGGAATACACAGGGATAAACATAATCTACGACATTCTAATTGAAGAACTTTATTTCCTTAAAACGGAAAATTTAAAACAATGAACTTAACATAATTAGTGGTACAGTTACACGAAAATACGTAAAAATTGTTTTTTTGTGACAGCTTCTTTTTTGATAAATCTAAAGAATAAATTCTTTTTAACTGAATGATGCCACTATAATTATTGTGTACAATACCTTATTTCTATTCCAATGAAGTTTACTTAACCATCCGGTGTATAGCATTCTGTTTAAGCTTAAACATACGATTCCATGATAAAAATGTCTTGTAAATCTGCTACATGGTGCTTATACTGATCTCATTCACAATGAAATAATTTGCTTTCACTTTTATTATTGTGTAAAGTCTATATATTCTTATAAATAGATAGAAAGAATTAAAACTAGCTGTTTGATTATAATTTTATTAACTGTGCATGTTCTTTAAATAATGATAACAGAAACAAATGAATCGAAATGAAATATACATATTATAACTATATTGTAGAAAATCTGAGCAGTTATGTAATCACAGGCATAACAATCCCTTAACGGAAATTAATTTGTTTTCAAATCTTTAGTTAAATGTACATTTAGAAAAAATAAGTCTAATCGATGTACTTGATGTACTTGCTGTACTTGCTGTTTGCAACAGTTTCCATTAAGACAGAATGAAAAATGTTGACTGCCGTGTCATGTTTCAGTTCACAAGATATTTTAACTGCACAAACATGCTTACGTTTGTTTAAACTTCAATGAAGATAATTAATGACTGCATGGTAAAAAGTCCCGAGTATTGAAGACTACTTGTATGTCTTTGTCTTTTTTTCCAGGAAAGTTATATCGTTCCACACCTTACATTACAGTTGTAGTTGCTGCTATTTTACTCACGACCGCAATTGTGGTACCGTTAACTATCCTCATAACTGCATGTACGTAAAGTCGTACAGTTGACGAAAATAATATTCATATACTAGGTCTAAATGTAATGTACATTTGTGACTAGCATGTATGGATTATTCCTTGCATATTAGACTGGATTTTCTAGTATTTTAACCCGTCCTGGAAAATATCCTATTATACAAGTAGCGTACTTTACAATGACGACAATTCAATGCATTTTATGCTTAGTCGTACTGAATGAAGTTGCAAATTCATACAGTTAAAGTGCTAAATAAAAACATTAGTTTTCGTATTTTTGCTTTTTTCCGGACTATAATATGCAAGAAAAAGAATCAATGACTGTCGTTACAGACGGATTGTCGGGCTTTGTGGTAACTGTTTTGTGGAAACTCGGCAAAGTCTCGTTACCAATGTACAGTTACCCTCGAACCAGGTATTCCGGTCTGTACTGGCAACAAGTGTGTTTTTATATTATGCCTTGTTTACAAGAAACCAAGCAATTAATTCCGAATTTATCAAAGTAACTTTCACAAATTCTGAAACAAAAATACTTCTAAAGATTCTTTCGTATTGATCAATTCTTTTTAACCAATAACCTGCTGAATTTGTGTGATAGATTTACCCAGCTTTATTTTTACAACATTTCATTATTTCAGTATCGATAAACAAAAATTGAGTACCCAACAGAAAAGAACTTGTTCTATCATTTTTCATTGGATAACATTGTCCTTATTTACTCTTCAACTGTAAAAAGTGTACTTTCATAAATTTGTTCTGGATATATTGCTTTTTTTCTACTACCGTAGACCGCTTACTTTACGTTTACATATTAAGTTTACATTTGATTTGTTTTACAGATGAAAGAAGCAATCACTTTGGTGCCCCAAATTGTACAGTGATTGCAGGTGGTATGCTCTTACTTCTGGCTTTAGTTGTACCAGTTACTTTCCTTTTTCTGAGAAAATGTGGGCCTTGTTCAACTGACAACAAAATAACTATCATTAAGCAGGTATATAGTCAATATAAGACAGTTAACATGTCAGTCAGATCTGATCATTTCATAAAATGTTTATGTTACAACTAAAGTTAGATGGATTAAAATCAATTTAGAATAAAATGTTTGTCTTGAAATTCAAAACTCAGGAATCCTCATTTCCAAATCAAGATTTATTAAACTTAGTGTTTATTATCTTTCTTTCATTAGAAGCAATTTACTTTGAAAGTTTAAAATTATAATCATCACTTTTGTGTGCGTAACCAGCGTAGTTTTTTTTTCATATTTATGTTTTGGTTTTTTTATACATGTATATAAAATTATAGATGAACAGTACAATATTTGTTGCGGTGATTTTCATCTTTATTTCATATTAGGTTTGTTTGTTTCCACACTGTATACCTCGTACTATTAGTATTTATCAATGTAAATGTTGTCTCCCCATATATATATTTTATTCCTCTATTGAATGAAGAGCAGAAAAAGAATACATAAATTTCAAACATATATACACATTTACGAAAATTCAACAAACATAATACAAACGTATGCCAACAATCTAGGTAAATATTGATAACACTGTAACTACAAACATGTATTTCGATAACATGTTATTATATTTAACAATTCAAAATATTTAATGTATGAACAATGTCTAGACTATGGACTGAAGTAAGATTTTGAACATTATTGAGTAAGATATTTGTTAACATTTATTTGTGCTACCTATATCAAAATAACAATTTAATACACTGTTCAATAATAATTACAGTTAATATATTGAAGATAAGTGTAAATATGAGATAGACTACATTTTGTAAATTTAAATTTTTAAATTCTGCAGCGCTGATGTCATGTAAGAGTAAATTGCATAAAGTCACACGTTGTATTAACTTCAACTCCTGCAAAAATACCACACTTGATTGAATGTCAGATGTTATCAGAAAAACAACAAGAAACTGTTTGTTTTAAGTGAAACAATGTAAATTGTCCAACCTTAACAATATCAAAATAGTCACATGTTTGAAATAATGACAATTTTTTTTAGAAACAAGTTAAACTTTTTTTATTTAATATTGGTTACAGAGTTTTACCATTTACCTCAAGTCTCAAGTGTATTTAAAATAATTATTTATATGATCTACCACTAAATATTCATCAGACCTTACATAGGGGTCCTTAATAATAAAATCTTAATTTGTAATATAGTCTTTTCAAGTGCTGACTATTAGAATAGATCTTTTGTAAATGATACCTGCTGTCAGATCTAGACAAGATTCCATATTTCGTAATATTATAAAATGGTAGATAACATGGTTGTGATGGTTGGATGCATTTATCATTTTGCACCCCAAGAAGCGTACTTAGAAGAGACACCTTTAAATGCCCCTATTGACACATGAACAGTAGCCATATTAATGCATTGTACTGTACATATATGTTATAATGTTTAGTGTAAGTTTTGTTTTTATCTTGTAAAAACTTAATGAAAATTGTTGAATAAACTGTTGTGAAATTTTCTACAATTTTAGTAACCTTGACATATCTTGAACAAATTTTCCAATGGTATTTACCCAACTGTTTGAATTTAGGTTAAAATATTCCTGGGACTTACCGGAGTGGGTCATACTGTTTTTGTTTTTTTTTCTAAGCAAGATCAAGACTTTATGAAAATGTACCAACTTAAAATGAATAAATGTCGATAGATGCATTAATAGCTAAAATAAATTTAAAGCATCAGTTCACCTTTCATTTACTACTGACTAAAAATAGCTTAACTGATTGAATATTGGTTATAAATATATTCTGTTACATGATACGAATCATGTTGCAGACTTCTTCTTTATTGTCTTACTTAATAATAGACTTGAATGTTACATCATAATTTACTCATCTGGTTATAAAACTGCGTCGGCAAATGTTATGTGCGGTTCAGATTCATTTATTTGCGTTAATAAAGATTATGATAACACTTTTTTCAGGATGTAGAAGAAGACACTGTGACACTGAACTATGACAAAGAATACAAAGAAAGTGATCAAATAAGCAGAAATATGACAAAATCAAGATCTCTTCACAACGTCGTACATCATTAAATGCTTTTTTTCCCTCCTGACCTTCTTGGATTGAATAAAGATTTTCCTATATGGATATGTATGCCATAAACGATTGCTGTAATTTAGACAATTTTGAACTCATGATTTTCCGGGGGTAAACAGTTAAAGGATGTAAAAAACAAAGGAAAACAACTTCCCGTGTAAGTCTAAGTTAGCATTTAACCTGTCACATATTTTCTTTTCAAAAGATAGATTATTCTTGTACAATGCTTTATTTAGCAGCAAATATTAACAATTCAAAATAAAGAAAAACAAATTGACTAGAAAAACGTAAAGCTTTACTGGATTCCTGTGTAATGTACAAATTAGAGACATACTATAAGATTGACGGAATCAGTTTAAGATAATACTACTGTTTACATGTGTGTGTGTGTGTGTGTGTGTGTGTGTGTGTGTGTGTGTGTGCGTGCGTGCGTGCGTGCGTGCGTGCGTGTGTGTGTGTGTGTGTGTGTGTGTGTTTATGCTTTTTAAAGACATGTATTTGAACCATTTGTAATTATAGCGTTTGATTCTGACCTTGTGTCTTTATGGAAATAATGTATATTACACGTATTAAAGTAACATTTGATATGACACATTGGATATATAATTGCAGACACCAAGGTCATATTTCATATCAATTTGTACAGGTTCACCATGTAATGCTTTACATGACAAATATGCTTTAAATCCGTTTTGTAGATGTAACATAGTAGTTTCATACAGTATGACTTTTATGTTTTTCCTTATATAAGGTTATATATTAACCAAGTGTGACCTAACGGGGCGAAGTCAATAATTACCCAAAGAACACGATTAATATAAGCTTTGCAAAGGTACAAAAGGCAATGTCACATGCCAATTATCAAAGCTCTTGATTCATTGTTGTTTTACAAAATAAGACTTCCGGTCGGCCAAAGGGGCCAGATTGAAACGAGGCAAGTATTGACCCTAGGGACAATTTTGGACGGGGAATTTATTGACCCAAGGAGCCAGATTTAGACGAGGCAATTATTGACCCAAGGAGCCAGATTTAGACGGGGCAATTATTAACCCTAGGAGCCAGATTTAGACGGGGGCAAGTATTGACACTAGGAGCAAGATCTAGACGAGGCAAGTATTGACCCAAGGAGCCAGTTTTACACGAGGCAATTATTGACCCTTGGAGCCAGATTTAGACGGGGCAAGTATTGATCCTAGGAGCCAGATTTAGACGAGGTAATTATTGACCCAAGGGACCAGATTTAGACGGGGCAAGTATTGACCCTAGGAGCAATATCTAAACGAGGCAAGTATGGACCTTTCCGGTGTTTACAGTTTTATGTAAATTGGCTTACTTGTTATCCAATCGCTTTACTTGAGATAATACATAGTCACTGGTTGACCTGGTTTGCACAAAAACACGTGGTTATGTTTGTGATACTGTTTGTGAGCAGTTTACCTAGCAATGAATGAAAAAGGTTTGGCTAAATGTTCCGGACAGCGATGAAACGCGATGGTACGATGGTGAAAACGCGATGGTACGATGGTGAAAACGCGATGGTACGATGGTGAAAGCGCGATGGTACGATGGTGAAAGCGCGATGGCACAATGATGAAAACGCGATGGTACGATGGTGAAAACGCGATGGTACGATGGTGAAAACGCAATGGTACGATGGTGAAAACGCGATGGCACGATGATGAAAACACGATGGCGCGATGGTACGATGGTGAAAACGCGATGGTACAATGGTGAAATCGCGATGAAACGAAGGTGAAAACGCGATGTTTCATCGCGTTTTCACCATCGTACTATCGCGCCATCGCGATTTCACCATCGTACCATCGCGTTTTCATCATCGTACCTTTGCGCTCTCACCATCGTACCATCGCGTTTTCACCATCGTACCATCGTGCATCGCGGGTACAGACTAAATAAAAGTCACGATTGTCCAAACGGAACACCGTAACACGGTGATGGTGCACGGAAAGTCCGCGCCGTTGCTTAGTGTCTGCACCGTTGTCGAGACGAAACAGAAAGTAGACAAATTTCGGCAAAACAAATTGACAGAATAAATGTTTAAATTGCACAGATGATTTTATACATTTACTGTAATAAACAAGAGTATTCACTTCTATATAAATGTCTCTTGTACAGAGATTGACTAAAAAAAATTTAACTTCTCTCAGTTCAAATGTCATGTACATTTATTTACAAACGTTTTTTGTAAAAAAATCATTTATAACGTATGTTACATACATTGTGAACTTATTGATCTTATAGTGGATTTATTTTTACGTTATATGCAAATATTCTTCTTTTACAATATAAAACGGATTTGTCTAAATACATAGAAAATAAAATGACACGTACCTTTTAGTTGTTTACCTTCCTCCATATTGGATGCACCGACAGTGAGGTTTCTCTTTACAATTCTATCATATACATGTAGTCTCTAACTTTTGAAAAAATAAATGTTTAAGACTTAATATTCAAAATTCATTCGGATTAAAATCAGTATATGTCATTTTAATGCAGTATAACACAATACAAATCGAGACAAAACAGTGCTTCTAAGTTGCTTCACATCCGTGCAGACAATTATGCAAACACTCGGTCATTTCCATTATAATTTACTGCAAAAAAAATAAAAAGAGTAAGTCTAAGACAATGGTAACAGTAGGTATCAAACCACTGACCTATCCCACATCAGGCAATGACCTAACCGTCTGTGCTATTGCGGGTGTGACCTTCAAAACATTAGTTATATGCTCCATATTTATTCTCGTACTCTACACGGACAAAACCGGAGAGGTCTTTTTGCAGGTGTTGAAGATTTGTTTAATTGTTCATATGGAGGAAAAGTAAGAACTTCTGATTGGTCGATTGCACCTGCGAACAACTGCAACATATCCGCTATTTCCGTTAGTTTCCAGATAAGCTCAAATTAGGAATACTCGACGAGGTGTCCGAAGTTAAAGGAGCACCATAATTCCGGTACAAGGTTCACTCGGTCATATAAAAGAGCTTGGTGATATTGTTACGAAATTACTTCGGTTTTTTACATAAATCTGCCTCAACCCATTTTGGTCTCTATGCTTGTATAATGAATAAGAAATCCAAGTGAAAGCATGATAATAAAATCAATTAAACTAAAATTATGCATCATTTTTATATGTCTTAAAACAAATTGAACACTTAAACTACAATAAGACAACTCAACAACATCTCTTCAACTCCAATAAACTCAAAGAACCCTATCAATTAGAAAATTCCCAGCTTATATATAACCTATAGACTGACCCGCGACCCACATACATACTGTTGTGCAAAACAAACATAAGTATAATAAATCATAAAGGCACATGTTTACTCAAAGCATATCTATTTGTTCAACAATGCGACTTAGTACGTGCAACATATACATTGTGCATGCATAAAATAAATATATCTGTACTATTTCTGATATACAAAATTGATACACTTACTTTTGATTGACAATTCTTTAAAACATATTAACAAATAAACTGAGAAAATCTCTTTTCAAGATTAATAAAATCTGATATTTGGAGATCCTGAAGGGCTAAGAAAATTTTATTTAGTTTGTGCGACCTCTTGTTTGGCGTCGTTGCCATAGATTCCGCGCGACCTTTACGCGACATTAGCTGCATGATCTTACCTAATTTGGAATGTAATATCTAAAAAACTGAGTGTACAATGCCATAGACTGTGAATGCAACAAAATGAGTTTAAGATAACCAGCTTAAACATTTTTGGCCAAATATACATGTACCATCCTAAAATCAATACTCCTTGTAGAGGACCAGTTTAACATTTCCCAATTTTGTTGCTGTTTTAAATGTTTAATTCTACTACTGTTTGAAATCGCTATTCAATTTATGCAGTTTAAAGATTTATAAACCGAATGAACCACTGTTCATAGTGTTAAATGTAACGTATGTGTAAATGATATTTTTCGATTTTTCCTTTTACCGACTTGACCACCTCGATGATAATTTTTCGTTTAAGCTGTAAATGAGATTCATTTCAATTTGATACCCAAAAAATGGATGCAGCCACCAACCATCCTCAACACTGTGGTCTGATGACCTCTGAGGAATGAACATTTAAGAATTTATATAAAACTGATATTTATAACATAATGTTGGCCGTTTGTCCTCACTTTCATAGTTTTCGCTCCCAACAACTTCTAATTGGCCAGCGTCCGTGTAGGAAAATGCAGTTTGGTAAAGACATCGCCCGTCAAATATTATCTCGATGTCTCTTTGACAAGTCTTATTAGTTGGACTAATGTAGCTCTAAATGTTTAAAGAAGTTCTTATATTAAGTATTTAAAATGACATACTTAAATTAATGATTTAAAACTTAAAGTGACATTATTCGCATCCAAGGTTATATAGTGTGTGAACAGGTTAATAAATTATCATTTTTCTATAATTCCTTTTAATTTTATAGTTCAATGAAATTTCTGTAAATATTCATTGGAAACTTACTTGTTACGTTCAATTTATAAAATGAGTCGAACAACCTTTTCATATTTTAGGTAGAAATTTATTTTATCCTAAACATTGTCCAATATCAACCGTTGGTCAGTCACCATTATAACATTAAATACGTGCATATGTCAATTCAGCTCAAATTGACTATAAAAAATGAGCACAGTCTAACTTGAGCAAGAATAAACAAATATGTAGTCGTATTATGATTTATGTATAGATAGATACTTTGTATTCCTCCAATATTGAAGAGCAAAACATATTTACAAAATTGAATATTCAAAGAGTATGGAATATGTACAATACATTACAAAACATAATTTCAAAACAAATACCATGTGTTACACAATCCGTCCCATTGGAACAAATATCATATGGAGATATGCTGATATCTAAATTTATCTCATATAGTGTATTAACACGTGTATATAGACATTATTAAGACATAAAGATAGGTTAGGATAACATCAAATTTATATAACAGGCTTCATTTATAAAAACATCATATTTGTATTTACTCTGCAAATACTGAAAGTTGTGTAACAAATTATAAAGTGTACAGAATAAAGAAGATAAATTACAACTGTCAAAGTAAAGTTTGGGAATATATTTTTCTTCTTTCATCGTTTACTTCTGTCAAAATTCTACCGAAACGAAATATCGAAATGATGACTAAGTTATTAGGCTATTTGAAGGTACATCAATTTGTTAGGGGGAAAAGGTACTCTGGGAAAATAATAAACTGTAAATTGATGGTGTTTAAGAAAAAAATCGACATTCAGTGTTACAGTACTATAATTGCGAAGAATTATTTCCAGACGGAAAAATAAATGAATATAAAAATAAAATAAATGAATACAACGATAGATCGAGATAGTATTAATGAGACATCAGTTCTTATTTGTGTTTTAGGCGTTAAGCAAAACCTTTACAATAATACAACAACTTGTATAGGCATTTTGCAATACCATAATTGTGCATTATTTTTCTATCATTATCTGCAGCAAACAAAACAACGTACCAGCATTGAATTTCTATTGTTGTTATAGTAAGGGATAAGAATATGTCCATGCCTTTCGTTTCTCCTAGCAGAGTTTTTGTACAAAAGCATATTACAGCACTATCGATCTTGCATGAAAATATACACCTTTGTAGCACACTTGTCTCGGAGCACATTTCTGTTACGTAAGACCGATGCGGTCGCATTTGTCCCACGTGAGACAAATGGGACCTCAAATGTCTAACTAAAACATATTTGTGTGACAAATGTGCTCCTATCAAGTTTTTAAGAGAACAAGAAGGCACATTTGTCTCATGTCATTTTTTAAAATAATTTGTCTCATATTTTCGCACGGCAGATTTTTTTTTATGATAAAACTGATATAAAATGATGAGAAAAATAGGGGTCATGTATCTTAGAACTAAGCATAGTATATATTTAACATGTTTAATTAATACACAATACATAACCGGCTCTGAAGGGAATACTGCCGTCGTAGGGCCATTATTAGTTTTGCGGGCCGCATTAACCTCTTAATTGATAATGCACTTTCAAGATCTACAAAATGCCGCCCTTTAGATCAGATCTGTTTGATAGTGGAAAAGTGCAAGCGTGCTGAAATAAATTTTAACAACTTAAGAGTGTTTTGTTTAGTCGTGAAAAATATTAAGACCTTGTATCTCAAAAGTATCTAAAAGATAGATAAATAAAATAAATAAATATTTCATTTTCATATTTCATTAATCAAGTTAACTCTATAGAAATGAATGATGAACGAATATTGCGTAAGTCGTGTCTAATTTAAAGTGGCTAGGACAAGACATAAAAGTTGAAATCTTTATGTGCACTTGAAATGGAAAATATCTGCAAAAGATAATAATGAAATATACTTATAATTGAAATCGAGTTTTAGTACGTTTCTTAGCCAGGTTTTAGTAAAAAGCGTTGTAATTTTTAACTATAATTAT